AAATGTGCATACCGTTTTATTCTGAAGTAAACTTTTTGTAACACTGCAATCGTGTATTTTATTTAAAATAAATGACAGTGTTAATTTTTTTATTTTTTTTATTAGATCTGATTAATCGAAAAAAAAAATGGACTAATCGATTAAGGAAAATGCATGTGTGTTTTTAAGATTGTGTTTGTATCTGTGTATATAAATGAATATGTGTGTTTCTCTATTTTGTAGTTGTAGTGATGCTGAATGGTTTTTAAAACCCAAATGCCTTTTGAGATAAATTGATTTTGCGTTGCAGTTTGGGCACTCTGGTTCAAAAACGGTAGCCATCACTGACCTAAGATGTACCTCAAATGTAATATGGCATATCGTAAAGTGCCTTTCCCCCTCAGTGTCTCCCCTTTCTCATAGTGGAGATTTGGCACTGCTCCTGCCCTCTTTTCACAAAATAATGCTGGGTGCCTGAGTAACCTTTCAGTAGGAATAGGTAGTGCAGTGTGGGAGAGTGTGCCTATGACTGTTCAAATGCTGACCGTTAGGCCCCATTCACACACGAATCAGCCTGCACGTGCAGGGCGGTACCAAGCAGCTGCCGGGAAGGACAGGTGCTGTGTGTGATTAGTACGCAGCCCTTGTCATTCTCTATGGGGCTACGCGGCCGTACGCCCTCCCTACACTCACCTCAATTGCAGGTCCGTAGGGGTGCAGGTGAGTGTATTCATACGCCGCCTGAATGGATCCTGTATGCATCCCGGCCAGAAAACCTGCACCCCTACGGACCTGCAATTGAGGTGAGCTTAGGGGGGCGTACGGCCGCATAGCCCCATAGTGAAGGACGGGGGCTGTGTACTAATCACACGCAGCACCTGTCCTTCCCGGCAGCTGCTCGGTACGGTCCCGCATGGAGCTGTATGTGCAGGCCGATTCGTGTGTGAATGGGGCCTTAGTTTCCTTTTGGATCAGTATTTCACGGCCCAACCAGCACTTGAGGGGCACATTATTGCTAAAGCTCAACATTTTTTACTTTATTTTCTCACTACTTTATGTTGTGTTCTCTTGTCAGCTTTTTATGTAATGTTTTGCCTGGCCCATTATTGATTTTATTTTTTTTTTGCAGGCGTTTTCAAACCATGCTGGGAGCACAGCCAAACTGAGAATCTTGATGTCTTTTTATGTCTCCAGTATAGTGGCTGCTTTGGATTGTGCTGATAACATTTCTGACATGCTGGTTGCTAAACTTCTTCCTTATGTACAAAAGGTATTAATGTGAACACTATTCTGCATACCTCCAATTTGATCATTTTGTAACATTGGAAAACCCTAGATTCTGCTGGGTTAAAAGAGAACTATGAGGTGAGTGCTTTTCACAGTCACAATGAGACTGTCACAGGTCGGCTTAGTAGATCGGGAGGTGAGCGAACACATACCGGCGTTCGCTCACCTCTCGATCCTCTCACGGCCCTCTGCCGTGACAGGGGAGGGGCTGGATTCCCCCCCCCCTACTCCGATGGGGAGGGGGCGGGTACAGCTGGCTCTGCCTCTAGATCACGCAGCTGGGCGGATCCAGACATAATTGTCGGGATCCGCTTCAGCTGCGGCGTCACAGTATACTGCGAGCAGCAGCTCGTGGTATACTGAGGCGTCTCAGTATACCGCGAGCTTCAGCTTGCGGTATACTGAGCCTGGGGTGACGAGAGGACGCTAGTTTGTGTCCTCCAGTTACCCTAAGGAGAACTATGGGGAAAAACCTTAACACCATAGTTCTCTAAGTTGCTTGGCCCAAAGCAGAAAAGATGCATGTGTGAGTACCTTGCACCAATATTGTTTTTCAAGTCAAAATGGCTGACACTCAGCAATTGCTATGAACAGATTTGGACAGGTTGAACCATCCTTTATACCCATACGTTGTACAGATGTAGCAAAAGAAATAGCAGAAGCAGTAGCTTCAACTGGAAGCTAACTCTAATTTAAGAATTTTCATTTTCCTGCTTATTGTGCCAGCATGACGTCAACACAGTGTACACTCATATTTGTCTTGTACTGTGTGAGACATGTTTAGTCATTCTTATAGGGCCATTCTTATTTTTTGTCAATACAATTTCTTCCACAGTTAATGGCCTAAGTTATATTCTGGATTGTTTTTATGCAGTGTTGATTCATGATTTCGTTTGTTTTTCATGAGTCAATGTAAGTGATTGCTAACTTGTTATGCTGACAAAGTGTAGCATACGTTCTGTGTATTTGTAGGCTTGATAGCTGGGTTCTATAATGGTAACCTGTTCTTTGGGCATGCTAACCATGCATTCTCTTTGCATTCCTGCCATTCCACTCTGGTGTCTGGAAGAAAGGAGAATACCCAGAGGCGAATTTATCAAAACTGGAGCAGACAAAATCTGGAGCAGCTGTGCATGGCAACCAATCAGCTTCTGTCTTTCATTTTCAAAGCTTAACTGAGCATACTGAAGAGAGAAGCTGATTGGTTGCCCTTTGCAACTGCTCCACATTTTGTCTGCTCCAGTTTTGATAAATTCCCAGAGGGGAATTTACCAAAACTGGAGCAGACAGAATATGGAGCAGTTGCCGGTGGCAACCAATCAGCATCCACCTTTTTATTTTCAAACCTTAACCGTACAAACTGAAGAGAGATGCTGATTGGTTGCCATGGGCAACTGCTCCAGATTCTCTCTGCTCCAGTTTTGATAAATTCCCCTCTAGTGTCCAGGGGTATGGGGAAGCATGTGACAATTTCCTTCCTCCCATTTGACAGCACTGGAGCTTGTCTGTGCAGGCACCCAGCACTCTTTTTATAGGGACCTGAAGATTGTTCTCAGCTTTGTGTGAAGGGGCTTGCTCGCTTTTTTTTTTCCTGGTAGACATAGGGATTATTTCACTAAGAGCTAAATACCTCAAATTTTGACGTAAACGAACTCATGGGTATACATTTAGCGTATAGTTATGTACAGTATTTGTGCAGAATTTATCAACATTTAGGCTTTCTTCACTTTTTTTTTTATATATGGTTGTTTCCAGTGCATAAAATAAATAAAATGCAAATGGGTTCAGTTATTTGCACCCATAAATTTAAAAACCAGCCAAGGCGTAAAAATAACGCTTTTTATTTGATCTGCTTCCTGCCTTCAGGATGGCATGGGTTCCTTGCTGTGTCCTCCTTTTGGATGAACTCCATATTCCAGCAATGTGTTTTCAAATACTTCCATTGCCTTTTGTTTTTATTTTAGTTAATCTTGTGATATTTCACTGAAAGGTCACGTAACCATTTTATCTCATGCGATAATGTTTAGTGAATTGAACCCATAAGTGCTGGGGGAGTAAAAAAGTTGTGTTGCTAGGAATAGTGGAAATAAGTAAACTTTTTTTATTTTATTTTTCTACACAAAGCACGGGTTCACTTTTAGGAAGTCATGCATTTTAGTATTTGTGAAGCCAAGCAGTGAGTCTAATGGTATAAAATGAAGTGAGTCTCCTTTGAAAGAGCAGACATGAATTGTGTTCTAATGAGTGTTTTCTGCTCTAGGGGTTAAAGACTTCCCTCGTGGAATACAAATCTTCCACATTCATTATAATATGCCAGTTGGCAACAAAATCAATTGTAGAATCATCTGTGTTGAAAGCCTTGACATCACAGGTCAGCAGAACACTTCTCAAAACGTCATCTCTCCTCCGAGAAGGTGTGGGATGTCTAATTATACTTCTGCAGAATCAACAGTCATCAAATGTGGGAAACAAGTAAGTAATCAGCAGTGTAAAAAGTGTATCTTTTTGTATTTATCAAGAGACATGGCAGTGTTGCAGGACCACTAGATTTGTATCCCCACCCGCAGGAGGTGCCCCCTGTGACGTACACCCGGCCCCAACCCTCTGTATGCCAATCGCATGTGACTACACGCAGTTGTGAACTAAGCGTGCCGTCAAAAGGACGTGACGATACCACACTCGGCCACACCTTTCCCAGAGATTTACCGGCTCACAGGACAACAATCTCAGGCCAGCAGACTGAGAGCGATTGTTACTAGCGTTGGTTAACTCCGCAGTTAACCCTTCAGTTAACCCTTTATACATCAAATGTTCGCTGCCACCACTTTTTTTTTTTTTAACGGAAACACAGACTGTTCCCAGCAAGTGCTGTGACAATTAAAAACACTTAGGGCCTGTTCACACGACGTCCGTTTTCTGTGCTGACCTGATCCGTACGCTCCTGCACTAAAAATGCAATGTATCCCTATGTGTTTTATGGGCTACAGTTCTCACGTGCGCAGTCCGTTCAGGTTACGACAGAAAAATACTGCATGTCACATTTTCTACGGTCAGGAAACGCATAACACCGCGTCTGCAGATCCGCACCTGATCAGGACCTGAAACTCATGTGAACAGGCCCTTAAACAAAGCCTATGATGCCCCTGTCCTCTCAAACAGGAATAGGACAGTTTTTACTATACAGTAGTGCTCTTCACAGAGGCAAGGATACTTTGAGTTCATATTTAGAGCATAGGGATAAGCTTTACGATTTTAAGGATCATCCTTTAATAAAAGAAATGGTGCAGAAATATATACAGAAAAAGATAATAAAGAAACAAAATAGATAACAGTAAAACAAAAGAGAATACTTAACCGTCCTGGTTTTTTGGAGTTCTGACAGTCCAAAGTTCAATAATCAAGAGGGGTCTGAAGGGCTCTCCTTCAAGCAAGCTTGCACAGATGTCCAGATTTTAATGTGGAACTCTACTACGATAAGACTTCTTGATGTTGCTGGAGTTCCTTTTCTTGATGTTTCAAAACAAGAGCCTCTATAGCTGCCTCGGCAATATCTTTTTGTCAGCCCTCTAGGGGGTGTCACGGAGCTGGCCCGCAGGGCTGGGAAGGGAGAGCAGGAGGGACGAGCTTTTACGATTTCCTCCTCCTGCTCCTCCCGCTCCTCCCAAACTGGTAAATTAATAACTACGAGGATATTGGGTATTCATTTTCCATATGGTCCGGCAACCCCTAAATTATTATGCATAACGAAGTTACCTTTAGATTGAAGCTAAATGTGCCCGAGATGTGAATGATGGGAGGCCCAGGAAGGTAAATGTCGCCTGTCCAGCCGTGGCTCATTCTGAACTATGTTTTCTTGGTATCTATGTTCTTGTTGTAACAAGACACAGCCATTTCTGCACCAAATTTTCAATATCACTGTCCAATTCCAAATTATGAAATGGAGCTGATATTGTAAATTAGGTTTATGACTTTCGGATGAATGCTGGGGTCACCTGGGTTGTTAAATCTGCCTGCTTATCAGACCTGCTTGTGCTTATATCAACTTGTCAACTGCTAATTTATTAGGGGATTAGCTAAGCTGGGCAAAAGCGTTTCAATGCATTGGCACCCCTCATGAAGAAGTAATTGAAGCTGATACCCTCAGGTGCAGGGGAAACTCTATACAAGAGTCATCTGTTTTAATGCTTCACTTAAGAACTATACAGATTACAGGTGCAAATTAGCAGGTCTCTATTTATTTTTTGGAATTTGAAGAGACCTGAAGGAGGTGATATTGAGTCCTAAGGTCTCGGAATGTTTTACAGTTACCCTGACAGGTAAATAGATCCTTGAGTACATTGATATCTTTAGCACCCCAAGACCGAAATACAGAGGACTCTAAACCTGCATTAAAAATTGGGGAGGACAAAATGGGCATTAATGGAGAAAGTACAGTAGGGCTATGGAAGAGTTTCCTAATCTCTCTCCACGCTAGCACAGTATCTCTAAACAGGATGTTACTTTTAATATGGGAGGGAAGTAAGGATACAGGAGTGTGAAGTATACCAGGGAGGGACCACAGTGCAACCAGATGGCTCTCAAGCGGAGTATTGGTATAAAAGGAGGTATCATGTAGCCAGTCCCGTACATGGCGGAAAAGGCTGGCTAGGTTATAGATTATAGGGCTGGGCACATTGGCTCTCATATTTGGAGTAGACTTGCAGCTTCCATAAGACCACTCTTGATTTCTTTCTTCACCATATAAAAGTTGAAAAGGCTTTGTGTAAAAGGGTAATATCCTTATGTTTAAGAAGAAGCGGTATACTTTGAAAAGGATAAAGTAGTCAAGGGAAACTAACCATTTTAATTAGGTGGCATCTACCCAGGAGAGAGATGGGATAGTCCTGCCATATTCTTAATTCTTGTGTCACTTTGTGGATTATTGGTTTATAATTCAGGGAATATAGATCTCTAGCTGAGCGTGGGATACAAATGCCTAAATAGGTCAGGTATTGTTTTTTAATCTGTAGAGAGGGGTGGGCATAAGAAAGGGCTTTCAAAAAGGATTTATCTTGAGTTGGAGGCAAGATTTCATTTTTATCTACGTTAATCTTCAGGCCAGAAAAGGAGCCATATAACTTTATGTTCAGGATGAGTGGTATTTGGGTCAATGGATCAGACAAAAATAATAAAATGTAATCAGCAAATGGGGCCCATTTTAGTATTGTAAGGACCAGATTGATAACCGCTAAATAGTCTATTAGAGGTGAGGGAGCGGGACAATGGTTCAATAGCAATATTAAACAAGAGCGGCGAGAGGGGACATCCCTGGCGAGTCCCCTTATATCAAGTGCCTGTTGGAAGTTGAGGCTTTCTTTTTCCTGGGAGGGCTCTTGATCGGGGAAGCAGAAGATAAGGCGGCATCAGAGAAGTGTCAGTCGACACAGGTTTTAGCGTGGGTAGAAGATGTGAATTGCAATGGTTTCCCCATCTGGAGCCGAAAAGCGTAGGATAGCTGGGTATGCCAGAGTGAACTTGACACGCTTATGCACTAGGAATAACAGGCTGCGGGAGAGGAGTGTGTCACATGCCCCGCCCCCTGCAGTGCACACAGTGTGCACACAGTGTGCACACCCGGGCAGATCAGCATCGCAGATGGTATAAGCAGGAGAACTGATCTCCCTTGGAACATCTGTTCGGTCCTGAGATGTCACTTCTATCCGACTTTGTGAGTGGGGTGGAATGCGAGATCGCACTCAGTTGGATCTCCTGCACATACGATTTGCGATGCCGATCTGCCCTGGAACAGTTAAGAAAGCGTTGGAATGCTTGACCTATTGGCGGTCACACATTCCATCGCCAAAAAACTGGGCGTGATTACATTGAAATGTGTGACCACGTCACCGGTCACACATTGTAACGTAGTCACAAACTTTGATCGAACACCGCCATCGGGGGTACGGCCGGTACTCATGTAAGGGGTCTGGGCAGCCTGGGGGCCTCTTATGAGTATCAGCTGTACCAGAGGTGGCATGGCAGAGGTGACATGAGAGGGGGGTGGAGGGGGCTGGGCCCCAGCAGCAGCAGGTAAGAGGAGTTGGGAGGAGGTACAGGGGAATGGACCCCGGCGACCAGCCCACCTGAGGCCCTGCAGAGCCCACCATAGAGAGTATCAGATGGGCTGAGCAGGATCTATAGTGTGCTCTGCAGGGTCATTGTCAAGTGGGCTCAGTGGCAGCTAGTCTCTGATAATCAATCTGGGCATGTGTTGGAAACTGTGACTCACCACCCGAATTTTTGTTAGCTTCGGGTCCCCTTTCGTCTATGTTCTCCACGTACGTCTGATTTTCGTTCTGGTCGAACGGGGAGGAAAGAGAATGGCGGGTCGGTTGCGAGCGGGCCACAAATCTGTCCATAGCCTTTAGTGGTTGGGAGACCGGGTGAGAGGTCCAGGTGAGAAGCAAGAATAAGTGTGTATTTAGAAGCTGAATAAGTGTGTATTTAGAAGTGGTGGAACGGAACTCCAGCACACACATCTAGTCCATCTGGCGCCGGAACCGGAAGTCCCTATAAGAGATTTTATCGATTAGTTGTTTCAGCACTAGTTTTTTTAGTTTTATTCTCTTTAGTGCTTGCAGCTTTAATTGTGTTTGGCCGTTGTTATTGTGGTTTATTCCACATTTCTGCTCTTGTTTTGCAGACCATTTATTCATCTCTGCAAAGTGCCTGACCTGGTCAGTATTCTGAAGGAAATTTCCAGCTTATATGACATATCCTCATTTTTAGAATACCTTCTTCTGAATTTGGTTTCTGCCATCTTTAACTCATCATCAGGTATGTGGATCCTTTGTCTCATAAAGCACATAGAAAGTGCACTTTTGCCTAGTATATAGGCATTAAAAAAAAACATTCTCAACAAGCAGCAAAAGAGCTTTAAAGCAAGCCATCCCTGACCTCTCTAACTGCTTGTACTGTGAAGTAATTATTTCTCAAAAGTCAGGTTTTACTTGGCTTCTACTCCTGTGAGGCTTCTAATATTCTGCTGCAATAGTAAGTAATAAAAGTGCTAAGAATCTCTCCACAATACCTAGGACTAAAAATACTTTAGTGTGCATAGTCTGGGTAGATGTTCACTTTCAGTTAAAAGGTAAACTTTACCTGCAATTTTATTGGAATGCATTGCTTTTTAGTACAGAAAATACTTCTGGTGATTTGTGATGTAACCAGTGCTATTATAAGAGTCTTCTGCTTTTAATTATAAAAACAATCGCCAACCGAAATGTTTTAACTCGGTTATGGTTTGAATTTAGAAATACATAAAAAAAAAAAAAATCCTTGTGTTCTCTACACTGACTCACGTTTACAATGCAAAATGTAAATGGAGAGGCATTCAGTATTTTCTGGGGACTGTTAAAGCACTGAAATATTGGTGATTGTGAAACGAGTGTGGAATCAGAAACAAGAAATGATGGATGCTATTACTTCTAATAACAAAGGCCCACAATTATTTTTTGTACAAACTGGATGTCTTCAGCGGCACACAAAGTAAAACACGGTGCAATGAAGCATGGCCTTTTTAATGTTTTACTGTGTAAATAAAAGCTTTATAATACTTGACAAATTATTTTTAGCCACACAAAAACACCATGAAGAAAGAATCGCTAAGCAGAAGTACTAATCTATTCTTGGTCTACTTGGGCCATTCCAGAACTAAAAATAGTAACCTTTCCAAGAGGTTTGCTGTTCTTTAATGATCAAATATACAGAATTTGCCCTAACTTTTTATCTCATTTAATTAATCTTGTTTAATTTTTTATTAAAACAATGCAAAATTGGAAATGCTTGGGCATAAGATTTGGTTTTAGTCTGGAGTTTTTTTTTCTTTCTGTTTTTCATCAAATACTATTGTTGGCAATAAAGTAGTTTGCTTTTTTTTAAAAACTTTTTTTGATGTTGTCCTAGGGGAAAATGCTGATGTGGCAGATCCTGTTGTGTGTAAAGCTATTCTTGAAGCAATACTTCACAATATTATCCTGGAAAAAGACCTCTCTATAATGTTAGCTCGGTAAGAAACCTTGTATGTTTACTTGGTAGCCTTTCCTGTTTTGTTTGCAATGTAAATACAGTTGACCTTTATCTGTACTGTTTGTAGGACTTTTCTGGACGAATTCATTTCATTTGGCGAACACGATCGTGAGGACGCTAACAAAATGGCGGATTTGGGGAAACGTATCCTGCCTCTTATAAGGCTTTTAGAAACCAAGTATGTGAATTTATTAGCTGCTTATATGGCTAAGGCACATCAATGCAAAAGTTCAGGAATGATAGTGTTAATACACTGTCTTATTTTTCAAGGCAGTTCAAGGGACGATGAGGAGAATTTATCAAAACGGGTGCAGACAGAATCTGGAGCAGTTGCGTCGGCAAATCTGTCTTTCATTTTCAAAGCTTAATTGAACAAACAAGAAAGAAGCTGATTGGTTGCTATTGGCAACTGCTCCAGATTCTGTCTTCTCCAGTTTTGATAAATTCTCCCCAACATTTGTGCAATTTAGCAATGATTTGTTTAAACCTGAATGACAGTTGTAACATTCTAGATACAGAAATAATATGTAGCTAGCTACTAAGAATGGGGAATGACTGGTAAAAAAAAAGTACGAACACCCCTCCCCTCAAAATTTTAGGGGTCACATTTGAAAAACCTCCTTCCCTTGTTTGATGGACATGGAAAGTCATCTGTTTATACTGCTGCCTAATGAAGGATGGGACACCTGGCAAACAAAAAAAAAATCTGTAGGCCAGCCCAGGATAACCCCTACTAGTCTCAGGATGCCTCAGTTTTGTGCTAGTGTTCTAGGAGGATGGTTGTTAATCCTTGCGAGTCTGTGTAGTTTTGCTTTGTCTGTGGATACACACACAGCTTACTAGCACACACAAAGAAGACTGCTGGTAAGAATCACTCTAAAGGTGCCCATACACCTTACGACCATCGCAAGACTTTTGTCTAGAAGTCAGAACCAGTGCAAAGAGGGCCAGCTGATTCTTCAGGAAACTAAAACTTTTAGACATCAAGGAGCAGCATATATTGTAAGTGATTTTCATCAGCATTTTAAATAGCTTAACCCCTTCGTGACGGGAGACGTACACTGTACGTCCAGCCACAATGGGACCAAATGACTTGTCACGTACACTGTACGTGACGAGTTATTTGCTGCTTTAGAGGGCTGTTGATTGCTGAGAATCAGCTTTTAACATTCATTAATGGATGCCCTTACTACAGAGGCATTCATTAATGAAAGGGTTAACCTTTTTCAGACACCCGATACCTTAATATCGGGTGTCTGAGAGTCACAGCAGAGCAGACACAGATGCCGGCTTTTGCCTGCATTCTGACAGCTGGTATAGATCGAGAGATATCTCTCTCAAGCTATACTGGCTTTTTTTTTCCTTTCATGAATAGATACATAATGTGTCTATTCCTATAATGTATCTATTCCTGGAAGAAGAATGTTTGTTTGCTGATCGTTGTTGCAACAATCAGAAAACCTTTAGTAACAGCTGAATCCTGAACTGCTGCAGGATCAGTGTCACTAACTTATTATCGGCTGTTCTGAAGTTTGAAGCAGCCTGATAATAACCATAAATGTATTAATTTATCAAGCAGTAACAGTGAGATTAATTCACAATGACTGCTTGATATATTTAAATAAATAAAATAACATTTTTAAGTTAAAAAAAAAAGTGAAAAGTGTAAAAAAAAAAAAGTGAAAAGTGTAAAAAAATAAATAAATTTGTAAAAAAATAAAATAAGGGACAAATGTATGTATTGCATTTTTTTTAGCTGTGCTGGTTGTGTAAAAAAAATACTACAAATCAAAACTGGGAAAAAAGTGTTTTTTTAACGTTCTTTCCTCTTTTTTTATATTTTATTTGTCCTAAGTGAGGCGTTAGACACACATATGTGATATAAATATGTAGCCCTATCTGTCCTCTAAAAAACAATATATAATATGTGTAGGTGCACTTTGTAAGAAAGTATATTACTGACGTGGAAGAATCACACAGCAAAAATGTCAAAAGTGTGTCAGTCATTTACGAACAGAAACTAAAAACAAGCTCAGTCATGAAGGGGTTAAAATCCTTTTGACTTTAATATGACTTTAACCCCTTCATGACTGAGGCCTTTTTTCCCATTGTTTGCACCCATGTTATATTCCACATTTTAGGCCTGAAAATTACTTAAAACTAGGGATGTCCCGATGCCACTTTTTCAGGCCCAAGTACAAGTACATCCCCTCATGTACTTGCCGATACCAATTACAAGTCACTGTGTCGGAGAGAGCAGGGACGTGTCAGTGGCAGCGCTGGTCCAGTGGGAGGAGCTCCAGGTGGGGTACCACCTAAAAAAAAAAAACATAGCGCATGCTTCGGCGCTAGGCATCGGGACATTTTGACAAGTACAAATACTTTCCAAAATGCCCTGTATCGGGCTCGATTCCGATGCTAGCATCGGTATCGGGACATCCCTATATAAAAAGTATTGAATTTATTCATCCTATTTTATAGGGACAAACTGTCCTAAATGAAGCACCTTTGTTTCATCCTGTGACAACTGTACCTAACTAATAATAAAAATATCCTTCCCTACCTCGCCCACGTTCCTTACCTCTGCTCCTCCCACAGTATAATTACATTTGAATATTAAAAAGGTATCTTAGACAAACAGAAATGTAAGTATTTGTTACCTTTTAATTTTATAGGACCCCCCATTATATATTTTTTGCTCAAGATTCATAAGAATCAAACGCATCCCCTGGGAAGACACGAATATACTCACAATAAGGCCCCATTCATATCTGTAAGTTTATAGGCAGTTAGGGATTCCTGCGTCATGAACTTGCATTTTCCTGCAGCAAGAATCCCTAATCTGGTGTTTACAAACGGCAGCTGTCATCTATTCAAGTTAATGATCAGGTGACAGCCGCTTCATGTAAAAGCCTGCACACTGCATGTAATGGTATGGGATATGATTACATGCGGTTAGAAAACACTCGAGTGTTTGATTCTGAACCATATGCAATCATATCACATATCATTACGTGTGGTGGTCAGGCGTTTACATGAAGCGGCTGTCACCTAATGTTCGGCTGTCACCTGAACATTAGCGGAAGTGGAAGGACATTTATTCTCGTTTTGTTTTGTATTATATCGCTAAAGTGGTGATCTCGCAAAGGACTTTTTTGGACAGTACTGATAAAAATAATTTGTATTAAGTGAATGTATTTCTATTTTTAGTGTGTTTTTTACAACTAAGTGCATGAGTTGATGTGTGATGTATTTAATATATGGTGGTGGTTGTAAAAAGTGCAGTGCACATGATAAAAAAATAATGGGGAGAGCATACAGGCTTTTATAAAGTAGTATACCTTGTGAAGTTGAATGCAGAGGTGCTAATTGCTTGGCTACCATGCTTGGCTGCTTATGGTGCAATATTATTTTTGCTTTATTTTATCTTCTGTAGATACCCCCAAGCTTTGGATTTTGTGTTGGAGAAACAGCTGCGGATTGGGATGGTTCAGGAAGAACAAGGCTTATTCCATCAGTTCATTGCACTCTCCACCAGTGGAGGGAAACATGAGGTTTGTGTACCAGACAGATCTTTAATGATAAATGTTCTATGCTTTCTTCAGCTGAATTTTCACCAGTCACATTCCAATTCTGTTTCACATCAAGCTTTAGTCAGAAATCGACGTCTAGAGCAATTTCTTAATTTTTGTACACATGATAAAACTTGATTTTTTGACTTTAAAACAACTTAAAACCCCAAACAATTATATATTTTCGGAAAGCAGAGGGCCTGTAGAATAAAAAAATGCAATAGTTTGTCACACGATAATTGAGTAAATGTTTATTAAACCAATATTTTTAGGATAAAATAGACTAAAAGGAATTATAGTGCACATAAACAGAGTATAATACCCATTTTTGGTCAAATATAAAAGCTGGGGTTGTGTCGGGTAAATAGATACCAAACATATCAAACCTTAAAATTGTGTGCGCCTGTGAAATGGCATAAAACGAAGCACCCAAAATTGCCCATAGGCGACGCTTTGAAAGCCTTTACTCATTTGTTTAGTGTCAACAGTAAGTGATGGCCATAGAATTATTACTCCTTTGACATTTGTGGCACAATCGTTTTTGCATGTAGGCACACCTGATGCATGTGTGTTTTTTTTGTATGTGTGTAAAGTTGGGTGTGGAGGGGGGGAGACTAAAATAAAAAATGTTTTATTTTTTTAATGTGACTTTTCATAACACTTTATCGCCGTCACATAGGGGCTAACAAGCCCCCTATGTTGTGGCACGGATACAGTGGCAGGTCCTCTTTATGGAGACATCGGGGATCTATTAGACCCCTAATGTCACCTATGGACCACACAGAACGTGATATAGCACAAATCGCCATTGCTGACAAAAAAAAGTGTGATCTTGCTATAACCACTTTAGGACTGCAACGTTTATAATACTGTACATATTGCAGTCCTGAAGTGGTTAGTGTTTCAATTTTGCAGACAATTTTCAGAACTCCTCTATATGTTATGCCATCTTATTCACACAGCATGCCTAAAAAAACCTTTTAGATTTTGTCTGTGTAGCTGGCTTTTCGAAGCTAATCTGTTCTAAATCAAAGTGACGGGAAGCTGGTTGTTCCGAAAGAAAGACTTTTGACACTGAGCTTCCCCACATTAACATCCATTCTTTCTAGATATTTCTTACTTTGTCAGGATACAGGGGGACATTCAGTAATGCCTTCACTGCACTTTTCTGAGGGTATGGACCTTTAAAAGGTCCTGCACCAAATTCAAGAAAGCCCTGTAAGTTGCTTTACTAACACTTGCAAAAGTGAGTGTCTGCTCACTTTAGTTAGCCTCCCCAGAACAAAGGAAACATGGGGGGGTTAGGTTAGTTGCAACAGCCTGTGTACTCTCCTCTCAGGACCTTTTGAAAGTTTTGGTGGGAGGGCTGCATGGTGGTGGTTCTCTCTGACTGGCAGACTAGAAGCTGCGCTGAGGCCGGTCTCTGCGGATTTAAGGAATAGGGTCTTAACCCTGCCTGTTCTGCTCCACCACTGCTGAGGACTGCTGGGATCTGTTGTTCCCCCTGCCGTCTACTGCTGAGGTCTGCTGTGATCTATTGTTGCCCCTGCCATCTACTGCTGAGATCTGCTGGGACTTGTTGTCCCGCCCTTACTGGACGTACTCATACTGTGCCTTGTTACCTGTAGGATTACTTCTTCTACCCCTGGATTACTAGCATTGTAACTCTGAACGTATTCCTTCATGTGCCCGTTGCCTACCTTCTGATTTGACCCTCCAATTGACCTGCAACCCCCCAGGACATAACCCCGGCCTCTGTACCTCGCTTTGTATACCCAAATTCCCCAATAATCACCCCGCATGCCGGGTTCTGCGTTATTTGCCTCTGTGTATTTTCTTTCTGTGCTCCTAGTTCGTCACACCAGCAACCAATCACTCATCCCTGGCTCCATTCAGCTGCTGGACAGCTACAGCAGTAAATAGTACTCTTTGCTTGCTGCGCCTGCCTGAGTGACGGGAGCAGTGGCTGGGTAGGGAGCTCAGTGAATCGGAGTCTGTTATTTAATTAACAGGCAAAGCTCTACTGAGCTGCACTAAGGACAGTGCGTCCACTATGGACAGTCAGTGCTAGCCCCAGTGCTAGCCTACATGCAGCAAATTCAGGTACCTGTTCCTAACTGGTGCATGAATCTGTTGCAAGCAGAAAACTGCATGAACTGGAATGGAGCCCATTTTCGGTAACAGGCAAGTATTTTTTTTTCAGATCTCTTACTTTGTACTGGTATTTTTTCAGGAAGCAGCAATTCAACTTTTTTTATTTCTTTAGGTCATTTCAATTTGTTTAATTTTATAATATGCATGTCCTATTTTGCATGCTTTCTGTGACAATTATGTGAGTATTATATTTTCTGATACTTCTACAGCTACTGGCAGATTGTAATACATCACTCCTGCTCAGCCTGAACCATCCACAGCCAGCGGTGAGACAACTTGCTGTCCTGCACCTTAAGAACATTATTGAGACTTCAAAGGTGAGAAACTACATTCTTCAAAGGTGTTTTTGTGAGGTTTTTTTTCATATTCCTTCCCTGCAACAGCTAAAGCGTATCTAAACTCAAGAACCAGAAATAGCTGGGAGAAATGTAACTGATAAAATTTCAGCACGGGTGGAAAGCACTGGAAGTTATCAACTCACAACATTTCAGGCAGGGTCAACAGGTGTTTCTCTTTTCTTCATTGAAGTTCACTGCACCGATCAAAATATCATGACCACTGGGTTATAGTTCAAACTGCAGGAGTAGGATGCTAGGTGCAAAACAAAGGAATACCACTAGTGGTAGCACAATGCTAATAGCCAAACCTTCGAACAGCTAGAAAGGTTCCATTTTTTTTTTTTTTTTAAATTCTTTAAGTATTGTAGCAGGTTTAAAAAACAAATAACAGGGTAACATTGTGTAAAGAAGAAGGTAATACAGAAAAAAGCATATGACCATAAAGACAGGTGCTTATAGGGCACAGAGCTACAATAACACAGCCATAAAGATATGTCATATCTGGTAGAGGTAGCAAATCAAGCCAGATAACAACCTCCCAAGTACCCGTGTGATGCCGAGAGATTGCGCGAAACATACCCCTGATTGTATACTGAATGTCCAGAGGTGTTTAAAGAAAGATAACAAAGAGTAATAGTAAAAGGAGGGGGAAGGAGAGACTATGGCACCGGGACTTCAAGAGTCTCCACAGCTTGGACAACATCACCTTGACATTAAAACATCACTCAAGTAGGCTGCTGTATTCCTGAGAATACACAAAATCCAGCCAGTATAACCATGTTTTCCGGAGCTTCTCTCTATGTTGACAGGCAGAGGTCAATTCTTCATAGTGCGTATATTGTCCACTTTCCGGAGCCAGAGCGGCAGTATGTTTCCAATACAATGGAATAAACGCTCTGGCAGCGTTAATCAGGTGTAAGAGGAGGGAGCACTTGTATCGGGTCTTGGATAGTGGAGACAGTTGTAGGAACAAATAACAGTCCATGAACCCATCGCACTCCTGACCGCTTTTTCCATTCAGATTCAAGTGGGTGCAGCAGTGACCATGCACAAAGAAAAGTATGGACACCGGGACAAAAGTTGCAATACCGATGCGCCTATTAACGAAAATGCAGCATAATCACACTCAATGCAATGTTTCGGGGCCTCGCAAGATCCCCTTCCTCATGCAGGACATGTGATAAAAGTGCAGATGAAACACGCATAAAAATACAGAACAATACGTGATAGCCAACCAATCCCTGAGCTTAATTGCGCCCTGTGATGTCATAGTGACGTCATATTCCAGCCAAAAATTACATGGTAGTATACTGAGCCACATATGTCCCAGGCTGGATAACAATCAAGTGTGACATAATGAATTATCACAAGTAAGGTGTATTACCTCAAAGCAGCAAAGGTATCCCAGAAGGGAGTGGTTAGCTGCTGTTGGAGCTCTACAGCCAGTGGTGGGTCCCGTCCATTGCTGTGCCAGTGGTGGGTCCCCTTGTATAATGTACATCCTCCTTCTTCCTAAAGTAATTCTGCAATCTTGGCCACATGCTCACATGGAAAGGGAAGGCATTACCCTTTTTGACTTGCAAATACAGTAATTTCCATCATCTGTTACATCTTATTGTCTGTCTGCTAGTAACCTGCTGTGTTCAATAAAGATCTTCATGGATGAAAAGGTATTTGTTGAGTTCAGCTATCTGATGGATTGTCTGCAGTGATTGTATCTGCTATAACAGGCCAGGCATAGAGGTCTTAGGAAGGGTTAATCACTATTTCAACAATTGGACTCAATCTCCAAGCCTCCTAGAAAATGACTTCCTCATTGTGCCTTTCAAAAACGATCATGTGAAGTTCTTGCAGGCACCGGTTATGGCCCTGAAGCCATGATTTTAGGCAGATTTACTTTGTTCTGTGGGTGACGAGGAGAAATTGGTGTGCCCACTTCTGCATGAGAAGCAGTAGGCGCTAATTAGGTTGGTTAGGGAAACCTTGAAACTTGAGAAATTGTTCTCTAGATTTGTTAGGGATTTGGTGCTGTTCTTAGCCACAAGCCTAAGAGCTCTGCTAGCGACTTATACGCCAGGTATGCAATCTAATCTGTCAGCCCGCAGGATCTGCGGTCATACTGTATGTACTGTAGCTTCGCCTACATACAGTATACTGTGCTGAGCCAATCACGACGAGCGATGTACACAACCTCTGCCAATCCGAGCAGGCTTTGTATTCATTGAATACATCGCTCGCCGTGATTGGCGCATCGCGGTTTACTGTATGTAGCCGAAGTACATACAGTACTACCGCACATCCAGCGGGCTGACAGATCAGTGGGTGTATTTAAAGGGTCGTCTTATACGCCCAGTCGCCGTGTACGCCGGCAAATACGGTATGTGTGTAAAATATATATATATATATATATGCGCTCTACATTTGGGCTCGTCCTTGGGATAAGCTCTACATTTTGGGCGCTGGTCTTTGGGATTTGTAGTCCAAAGCAAAACACATAGTAAAGGAGGTACCTCCATTTGAGGACCCAACAGACGGAAAGTGTGTATGTATCTTTAGATCCCTGTATGCTTTGCTGGATCCTTTTAATATAGGCTTGTTTTTGGCCTTTCACTTGGGTCAATCTAACCTTGAAAGAGTGGGCTCCCCTGTACACAATAATGTAGTGGACCAGTTTGTGTAGGCCTCTAAATTACCTTTTTCTATGGCCCTTTTAGTTTTAAAGCTTCTAGTGTTGACAGTGATAATTTTCAGAGTTCTGTGGCTGTTCGGCATGACATTTGATGAAATCGTAAAGAACCTCAGAGGAAGCAAACTCGTTGAGGTTTAGTTTATATTTTTTCCTTTTTTGTAAACGGTAAAGAAGAACTCCGGGTACATTAAACATTATCCATTGCAATTGGTCTACCCCCGCACTGCAAAGGTTAACTGCTCGTTTTGGTCTTGGCTGAAACAAAAAAAAGTATACTCACCTGATACCTGATCCTGCCTGGCTGCTAGACTTGTCCTTGCAGTTTCTTTCCCTTCCGAGCTCCAGCTGTCTAAGGACCTGTGATGTCATCGGGTCCTTTCACTTGCATTGTGTGCATAAAAATGAATAACTAGATTCATTTTTAAAAGTAGCAATGACCTGTGCTGCACATTGCTTAACTAATATTTTCTGCCTTCAAGAAACTAGATTAGTCTCCTACCGACCTAATTTTTTTCATAAAAGCTATCCACAAATTTATCATGCTAATTTCACAGAAAAAGAACAGAGGAATGCTGATTGCCTTCAATAGGAACACTCCTTTTTCCTGTTCGCACATTCATTAAAGGGGTTCTAAACCCTCCGCAAGCAGTAGATATAGGCAAGAAGTTTGGGGAAAAAACCCCCCTCTTTAACTAGGTTTAAACTTACCTCGTTATCGCTGCAGGCTCCTGCACCGAGAATCAGGAACTGCTCGTTCCTTGGGGCGACGCATGCGCAGGATCTTGGGGCGGGCGCATGCACAATTCCGATTCTCGCCCGGGAGACGAGCAGAGAAGCAAGGTAAGTCTATGGACGCGTGCACCCACATGCAGACACGGCTGGATCGGAGGGACAGCAGTCAGCGCTGGATAGGAGAGCCGCCGCACCGCTGGAGGGACAGATGAAAACATCAGGAAAGAAGATCGGAATAAGAGACATAATTTAAGGTAAGTGGTAACATTAACATGGGGGAGGAATTTTTTTTTTAACTTTAATGTCACTTTAAAGAGGAATTTTACCCGTATCTTCAAAATAACAACAACCTTTAGAAATATTTATCAATCTACACATCAACAAATAGATACTTCTAGATAATTGCAGGCTTTTTATTCTTTGCTTACCTTTTTATTTTTAGGGCTGCGGAAATTAACGATTAATTCCTCGATTAATTGTAAATTTTTTTGATCGATTTAAATTTTTTTTGATCGTTACTCACCTCTCCGCCGGCTTCCGGGTCTTCCGTCGGAGATCATTGCTGTGCTGTATGTGTATAGTTGGATCTGTATGTGCGTTATAATCGAAATTAATCAATTAAAAATGTTTTTGATTAATTGAACAGGAAAATTTTAATCATTATCAGCCCTACTTATTTTTCTTTTCCTCCCCATTTTAACTAAGGGCCACTGTAATATCTTTACTTCTTGAAACTCTGGCACATGTGACCATGCACATCTCGGGGGAGGAAAACACCTTTCCCTGAGATCTCATGAGATTACAAATGAGATTTCCCACCAATGCACTGCTGATGTAACCTTCCCAGGATGCAGTGTTTTGGTGCAATTACATTATGCCAAAGTGGACCAGCAAATAGAAAAAAAAGAGATTTGTAACTAAAATAAAAACCTTTAACATGTTTCTTGTGGTACCTTTAAGACTTTTCTTGGCGCACACCAGACACAGCTTCCTCCCCTATGTTCCTTTGAATCCACTACTATAATTGCTTGCTAAAACGACGGTGGCATGCTGGGAGTGGGAGGGGTTATGCTTGGTGTGTCTGCAGCAAAGGAACAGGAACAGCTATTAGACATGTGCGATTCGTTTCGTTACGAATAGAAATTCGTACAAATTTTCCTGAAATTCGTAAATTCGGAAGCATCTTAAATCCGATTTGCAGTTTCCGAATTATATCCGAAATACGAAATTCCGTTAACGCATTTCGGATCCAAATTTCTTTGAAACAGGAACTAATATTACCCCTGTAAAATGAGGTTGAACAACATGACGATTTTTTTTTAAATCCGAAATACTGATCCGCTGCTGCTGAGGGTTGCATTACAATACACAAGCAGGAAATATGAAATTCCGTTGACTGAATTTCGTTCCGTTACGAACATTCGTTTTATTGAAGTTAAAAAGCAAAGTACATTTATATTGGAGTTGATGGTAGTTTTTTTTTTTTAAATGCGAATTTCGATACGGAATTCGTATTTCGTTTTGGTTGACCAATCAGAGGTTTTCTCTTCTGCTGCTGACAGTTGCATTACAATACACAGGCAGGAAATACGAAATTCCGTTGCCGTATTTTCGTTCCGTTACGAACATTCGTTATATTGAAGTTAAAACGCAAAGCACATTTATATTGGAGTTGATGGTAGTTTTTTTTTATCCGAAATTCGGATACGGAATCAGTCAACGGAATTCGTATTTCGGATAAAGAAACAACTACCACATCGACTCCAATAATAAAGGTATTTTTGCTTTTTAACTTCATCATAACGAATGTTCGTAAAGTTACGAAAAATGTGCCGAAACGAATAAATTCGTATTTCGTACGAATCCGAATTGAGTTTCCGTTACGAAATACGAAATAACGGATATTACGAAACGGAACAAATTTTTTAACGGCGCACAAGTCTAACAGCTATTTGATGCAAACAGTAATCTGTTCCTTCAGGGGTAGGCTGATCCACCTCTGCCACCATGCAAATACAGTATATATGCTTGAGTGACAATGATTACCTTTTAACACAGTGCCATTTAAGCTATCCTATCTTGTTAAGCAGTGTTCCTAGCATGCACTGTGTTTCTGGTCAGCAAGTCCTGGAGATAATTTCACAGTGCAGTTCTGCAAGACAGTGAAGGTATTGGTCCTTAGTGTGCAGCCTGTTGTTACAGACCTGAATTTGAGGCCTGAAGCATAGCGGGCCCCACACTGATCCCTGGCAGGCCGCATGTTGTCAATCAATGTTTAAGATGAACTGTATGTTAATGCATACACTGTATGTTTACTTTTTTTTTTACAGCCTGGTTTTGATGAATCTTTTCTTATGGAAGCTATCCTAGCTCGTCTCATGGATGACAATCTTGAGGTGCTTTTGTCCGCTTTGAATTCTTTGAAGGTGAGAGATTATTCTTATTGTGCTTGCTCGAAGTTGTTTTAGTAAAATTGATAAAACGTTAAAGCACAACTCCAGAAAAAAAAAAAATATATATACACATTTATAATTTTGGCCGTTTGCTATGTTCCAGTAAATTAACATTAATGGTGTTTCATGTGGAATCTCTAGCTTTAGGTAAAACTCCAACGTTCATTTTTCCTGCATATCTGTAATCGCTGAACTTCCAGCATTGTAAATCACTTTTTTTTAAATTTATTTTTTAACAATGATTATCCGCGCTATTGTGCTCTACCCCAAAATTCTCAATAACACCCTATTGACAGCTGCAGAAATAGAGAGAAGCTATATAAACTTCTCCCACATTATATTAAACAAAAGACACTGCGCTATCTCTAATATTATAAAACTCTAAGTGCATATACTTAGTGACAATGTTCACTCCAACTTATATATAGTCCATATAAAAATGTTCCCAAAAATGATATGATCAAAAATAAATGTGATGAAATCCTTGTGTTCACTTTCTATTGATCTTGCGATCATGCTAAAAAACAGCCGAAAATCCTACGATTCTCGGCTGGTTTTCTAGCATGCTCCTTAGACAAAAGACGTGCGACCGTACAGTAAAAACGCTTGCACGCCTTCCATACACTTTGCGATTATCGTACGATTTGCGGGATTTCCCGCGATTATCGCACAGTGTATGGGCACATTTTTAAGGTGCCCACACACCTTGCCATAATCGCGGGAAATCCCACGATCATACGATTATCGCAAGGTGTGTGGAAGGCGTGCAACCTCTCCTACTGTAAGGTCGCACGACTTTTATCTTATGAACATGTTCGAAAACCCACCGAGAATCGTACGATTGTACGTATGTGGCGTGTTTGCAAGATAAAAGCCGCACGGGCCGGTGTGCGCAAGCGCACACTGCCCGTTTACCATTGCTGTCATCGGAAGCCCACCCCTCAGCGGGGTGAGCTTGCAATAATAGCAAGTACGATCTGCCTGTCCAAGATAGGCAGATCGTACGTTTTTTAACCACCTCCGGGCCGGCCGTAGTAAAAAAACGGCCGGCCCGAGCTCTCTAGATCTGAGCGGGCGTCTTTAGACGTCCGCTCAGACACGCCCCCCCGCGGGAAATGGCCGGAATTTAAAAACAGGCAGCGATGCCTGTCACCATACAAGCGATCCGCCGGCTGTAGAGCCGGCGGATCGCGTGTATGGGGTGCCGATCGGGTTTCATAAAAACCCCAGTGGTGATTAAATACCACCGAAATAAAGCTCTATCTGTCCCCAAAAAATGGTATAAAATTCATTTCAGTACAGCGCTGCATGACGGAATAAACATCAAAGTAACGCAGCGCTGAATACTGAAAAATGGCCTGGCCAGGAAGGGGGTCTAAACACCTGGTCTTGAAGTGGTTAAATTACCTTACAACCATCGCAAGACACAAGTCTTGTGATGGTGGTAAGGTGTGTGCCCAGCATTATCCGCTTAAAATAGAAAACCAAGATCGTACATAGTGTAAAACTGCTAGATGATAGTTTTTTCATAAAAATCAGAACACTTACATTTAAAAGAGTTTTTAGCGCTGTAAAAACATAAAATCGGCTTGTACGAGCTCAGCTCTGTGTCCTCCACTCCATACACTAGCGTAAGCGTGTAGCTCCCCAACGTGTTTCGTCCAATGGACTTTCTCAAGGGTCCTTTTATTGACTAAAAAGATTGTGTACAAAGTAGGACACACTTCAAAAAGGAAATGAGATGGGCGATGCCGAAGCATACATCAACTAATATGTAGAAACATTTAACTTTATAAGGCTATTCAATAGTAATAAACAAGCCTATACCATTGCAGTTGGATATTGTGTGTCATGTAAAAAAAAAAAAAGACAGGGAAAGACACTGGTTAATGTACCTTACCCTGAATATGGACCAGGATGGGCATTACCTCTAAATATTTTAAATGTGTTGGGGGATTGGGAGAAGGGTCAAAATATGTAGGGAAAGGGAGAAACGTAAAGAGCTAAAGGGGTCAATTTAGATTGCCATAGTACTCAGAAATTTACTAAACTTCAGAGTGAGGACATTCGGTATACTGCATATGGTACACTGAGACACAGAAACCTGTACCAATAAGTGTTGGTCAAAAGAACACACGTACTCTACAATCTATATATGGCCTATTGAACGGGTAAAATAGGAGATGCCAGTTGTAAACAAATAAGAAGGAGGGACATGCTGGATGTTATGATTTAGGTAGGGTGCATTTATGGTCATTCATGCAGCATGTCCAATTGATAGTACATTTTTCCCATTTTTATAATGGGCCTTCACTTAGAGCTTTTTAAAGTGGGCATGGGTATTCATATTTCAATCACAGTATAGAGACTAGGTATTTCCATCAGTTTCCAATGCCGCACTAGAGCTAACCTGGAAGCAATTAGTGTGTGAGAAACAAAGGTGCGGTGGTTGAAGGGCCAGGTCTCTATGCCAATCCCTTACCTCTAGCTGAGGTGAGGGAGAGCAGGTAAGTTTAGTAACAGAGGAAATAAACCTATAGATTCCTGCCCAAAACTATTTTAAGGCAAAACAGTACCACCAGATGAGTCAACGAGCCAGTTTTCCACACTTGCGGCAACATAGGTGGGTGGTAGCTGGGAACATCATGGCCAGCCTTTGTGGGGTGTAATAATATTTATGGAATATTTTCTGAAGGGACTCTCAATACGTGATCCGGTTAGAGGTTTTGAGAGGTTGCAATAGTCTTGTACAGTCCAGTATCTTCTCCCACCATTCCATAGATGGAAGCTTTCCGGAGGGGTTGTGGTTCAGTAAGGAGTCTATAGAAGAAGGAGATGCCTTTACGAAGAGGATTGGGAGTTTGGAAGAAGGAGATGGTTCTCAGACACTTTTTTTTTTTTTTTTATATATACTGCAGCGTCTCATTTTGTTTGGGTTGAGTTGTCAATCTAGTAATCTTTTACTTAGACAATATAATACCTTATGTTTTTTGGGTCTCTAAATATTAAACTTAGTTTGGGATATTGTTTTTTTTTAAATGGGATCTGGCAATAACAAGTGCCAATATTTATGGATTCTTTTAAAATCCTTAATGTGAGTTTTCAGTTCTAATAAAAGACAATGGGGTAAATTTATCAAAACTGGAGCAGACAAAATCTGGAGCAGTTGCCCATGGCAACCAATCAGCTCATGTCATGCTGCTCCAGTTTTGTTTTTTCCCCAAACACATTTTATTGTAACACAAATGTTTTCGTTATATACAGAAAAACATAAAACATTCAAAAAATAACAAACTATAGAACCTTAACTCGGCAACCACAAACATTAACTCTGGCCCGGCCAAGGAGGAAAGATTTGCATAGATGTCACCCCTAGTGCCACCTTGGATATTGGCAGCACCAGCAGTGACAAAACCATAAACAATCGATTCACTTAGAGTGTACTTCTGCACCTTAAGGGAAAAACCCCTGGAGTAGTAACACCGGGGGCAGTGTTCTAACTTCGTAGGTCTCCCGGTTGAAGCCCGTTAATCCAATTCAGACATATTTAACAGGTTATAACATGTGTAACGAAATGGTTGCAGAAAATCGTTATGTTCCGAGCGTGTGAAATAAAGTTTCAGAAAAGGCATCCATCTTTGGAGGAAAGCGGATGCCAAACGCTCAGAAGAGATCTGATTCCGCATTCAATCTTTCTAAATACATCAGACCGCTAAGATCTTGAGATAGTATCCCTATAGAGGGTGGAGAGTTTGAGAGCCATTCTCTCATAATGCAACGACGTGCTACCACTAGGCAGATATCTGCCCACTGCCTGGCGGTCTTGGTGTAGGAGTCAGACAGCAACTGAGCAGGTTCCCAATAACCAATAAGAGCATAGGGCCCAGAGTGTCTAATCCCCTGGACTTGGAAAACAAGGTCGGTAACCCAAAAAGGGTGGATGTGGAGACAAGACCACAGGCAGCTGAACAGAGAGGCTTTTTAGGACACTATGTGTCCTGTGAAACCATAGAGCAAGATTTATGTTTAAACTGGAAAGCATAGTAAGCTCTCTGAATAATTTTGTGTTGTGTTTCCCTCCATTGCTCATTGATAACAGGGCGTACATTACGATAACCGGTCAGAATCTTCTCAACTATATCCTCCTCTGGTATGTCACGTGACCAAATACTGACATTGGAGCTATGTAGTGATCTGGTCATAGCATCTCTCAGGAAAGGGTAGATGGCTGAAATTGACAGATCTCCCACATGGGCGGTAGCTTGAAGGAAGCAGAGAAAATCGTCCTTGAGTAAACCATATGCAGATCTGAGCTCCCCAAACATCAGAAGTCTGGTCCGATCACTAGACAGCAGATGGTGAAAATGTGTTAATCCCTATTTCTCCCATTGAGACATGATATTCCTCCCCTTGTGGGAAAGTGGGATTTCCTCTAGAAGGGAGAGACTGCAAAGTGAGGGTGCAAACGTAAAGACTGAGTCTCCCTCCAGGCTGTGACCGTGTCTCAAATCAATACATTGGTACTGATCTGGGATAGCAATTTGGAGACTGGTTAATGGAACAGGGCTTGCCATTTGTAGGGGGCCACCATGTCAGATTCAATCAATATATTGGAACATTGAGAGTAGTAGTTTAGCGAGTCAATGGCATGCCTCAAAAGACAAGAAAGGTTATACAATCGGACATTAGGGAAGGACATGCCCCCCTCAGATTTAGGAAGATACAATTTCCTCAAAGCGATGCAAGGTCTCTTACCTTGCCAGACAAATGTGGTGAACGCTCTGTTAAGTGACACAACATCTTTGTGCGTAAGTAGTAGTGGCAAAGTTTGCATGGGATATAAATGTCTAGCAAAGCTGACCATCTTGATTAGGTGTATCCTGCCAAAAAGGGAGATTGGCACATTTTTCCATCGCTGCAACTCAGAGCACAGATTTTTAATTTCAGGGGGATAATTCAAAGTATACAGCAAG